TTCTATCATTCAATACAGGCATTTGCTGAAAGGCAGCTGCAGCTGCTGCTCCTCCTCTTTTTTTTTTTTTTTTTCTTTTTTCCTGAGATGGGGTCTTGATAATGAAGCCTGAGCTGCCTTCAACTCTGTGTAGCTTAGGCTGGCATCGCTCTTCCTGTCTCAGCCTTCTGAGTGCTGGAATGAAAGGCATTCACCAGCGTGTTTGGCTCCATGCACTTTTATCCAATAGCATGTGTTGTCATTTAAGAAAAGCAGTGCTCCAGAGAAGGATGCCATTTGACAAGGTTCAAGCAGAGTTTTTTTTTTTTTTTTTTTAAATTAGGGAAAGGGATCATAAAAAGGGGAAAGGGAAGTAGGGAGACCAGCCTCTGGAGCCAGGAGCAGCAGGAGAGAGGAAAGGGGTGGGGAGAGAGAAAGACAGACAGACAGAGGAAGAAAGAGAGGAGGATGGGAGGTGGGCGGGGCCCTTTTAAAAGGGAACATAGTGAATGTGCACAGGTGGTGCTCTTAGTGACTGCAGCTGATGTTGTGTCCTGTCAGAACCTCAAGGACAGGCCAGTACAGATGCCTGAATAATGACAGCATGTACCTTTCTCTATTACCAAACTAGCCAGGACAGAGACGGTCAGTTTTCTGTTAATATTTTGTTTTTTATATTTTTAATTCGTTAAGAAAGAGTTGCTATTTTTAAGATACTAAAAAGGAAAGTTGTTGTAGACATTAACATAGTTTGTTTAATTTTAAATCTATGTGTGTGTGTGCCCGTGTGAGACCATGTGCACCATGTGTGTGCTGCAGGGGCCTGTGGAGGCCAGGAGAGGTTGTCAGATTTCCTGGGACTTGGGTTACAGATGGTTATTGACTACCTGATGTGTATGCTCTTAACTGATGAGCCACCTCTCCAGCCCTTCAAGAAACCTCTTAAAGAAAAATTAGCTGGTAGTGTAATCCTGATAGCTGGTAACTATATAAAGATCTCAGAAGGGTTCTTTATTTGATAATTGCTTTAAAAGTCTAAATACTATTTTATGTAATACTCACCCATGCATATAATGTGTGTGGCTCAAATCCACCACTGTCCCTTCCCTGCAGTTCTCCTATGTGCACCGCTGCCACTCCATTTGCACTTTCAAGCTTGCACATGCTCTTGTGCTCTCACACTGTCCCCACCTCTTATTCAGTGCTGTCCGTGTGCGCTTGGCTGTGAGTCTGTCTACAGGAGCATGAGTAGTCTCTCAGGGGCCGTATCCCTGGGGAGAAGTCATTCTCCTTCCTCCAGCAGCCATCAGTTGCTAAAAGCTCTTCACATAGGGGTAGGATTTTATGAGTTCCTCCCCACCCATGCTTGGATCTTGGCTGACTTGTCCTTGTACATGTAGCCTCAGCTACCATGAGTTTGTGTGTGCAGCTGCACTGTCCTGCCCAGCAGATACAGTTTTTCTACAAACTCTACTCCTTCAGGTTCTTGAAATCTTTCTGCTCCCTCTTCCACGGTGGTCCCTGAGCTAGCTCTCTCTCTCTCTCTCTCTCTCTCTCTCTCTCTCTCTCTCTGTGTGTGTGTAATATAGATGTTTTATTTAGAGCTGAGCATTCTGCGGTATTCTCCATGTTCACCATTTACAGGTCTCTGTATTAGTTGCCATCTTCTCCAAAAAGAAGTTTGATGAGTGTTGAGAATGAACAAATGTTTAGGTATAAAGGTAAGAACTTAGGGCCATTTAACAGAATAGTAGTACTGTTCTTCCTTAGGGTGGAGGACTTAGCCAGATATGGGTTTTGGGGTCCATTAAACACTACCATGAGAAAAAAACCCCAAAAACAACAACAAAAAACAATACCAAAAACAAACAAACAAACAAAACATAGTACCATGAAATAAATTTCATCTTGTGGCGTGAGATTTAAATCCAGTCAGAAAGTGGTTGGTCACCTCCATGGCATCTGTGCTACTATTGCAGCAGTGTATCTAGCTTGTAGGGTCACAGTTGAGTAAGATCAGTAATGCCCCCTCCCCCTGTAGTGTACATAGAACCTAAATTCCATGATTGATTGGATTATTTGTCTTCTTTCAGATACAGTCATCTCTCAGTATCTGAGGGGAATCAGTCCCAGGACCCCTCGTGGATAGTCTTAGGGTGTTCAGCACCCTACAAGAGCAACTGCAGTATTTCCATATAGCCTACACTTACAGGACTTAATTTATTTATCAGATTACTTATGCTATCTAATTCAATGTACAGGGTATTTAAATTATTACTATACTTGTGCTGGCAAGATGGCTTATTTGGTAACGTGCTTGCTGGGTGACCATAAGGTACTGAGTTTGACTGATAGCACCTACAAAAAAAAAGTCAGATTTGGTAGCTTCAGCCCTCTGTTGGCTGAATCAGTGGATCTGGAACCTGATATATATTAGTTTTTCTCAGCCTGTGGCTTCCCTCCCCCAAATCCTCTTGACAGAATATTTCTTTGTAGTTCATTCTGGCTTTGAACCCCTCAACTCCTGAGTGCTGGGATTACATGTGTTTACTACTATGCCTGGTTGAAATTTGAAATTTACCTTACTGCTTTTTAAAAAATGGATCAGTGTTTTGTTGTGACATATTTTAGAAGTTCTGTACTTGTAGTTTCAAATAAATGAGTTTATTAAGTATGCAGTCAGCAAAAGTAAATGAACTAACATAAAATAACAGGTAACTCCATCAACTGTGGCTGGTGTAGCCTGACTGAGAGCAAACGAAGGTACTGTCTCCCAGTGGAGGTCTGCACCACCTAACAGAGATAGACTGGGGAAGCAGCAGGCCACTGGGGCTCCTGGTTGGAAGGCTCCCCACTTAGTTCCCTCTGCAGGCACATTACACCACAGCTTCAACATGAATAAGCTCTGTATTTTCAGGGACACAGTGTTGTTAATCTCCTGAGGTGCTTGCTGTTTTCCTTCTCCCTGTTACAGAGCTTGGGAGAAAGGGCTGATCCAGCGAGGACACTTGACACAGACATGTTGGAGACTGAGACAAGGGAGGGCCTCCCCTTTCTCAGTATTCTCTTATTAAGTTACAATTATGCTGTTGTAATGTTGTGATACAACCTAGAGTCACCTGGGAAGAGGGTGGCAGCTGTCAAGATCAGTTCATGTCTGTGGAGAGTTGTCTTGGTGGGATGGAAGACTCACCCTTAACATAGATGGTATCGTTCCATGGTCTGGATCCTGAACTCTGTAAGAGCGCAGAAAGCTAGCTGAAAAGAAGCAAGCATGAGTGTGTTTGTGTCCCTCTGCTATTGACAGTGGATGTGATGAGGGGAGAAATGAGAACAAGTGTAGTGATGCCTATAACACACCCTTGACTTTGTCAGTTCAGTTACATATGCGTGAAGGGCAGTCTAGGAATCCAGACTGCAGTATCCTTAAGTCAGACATGAAAAACACATAGTTTACATTTTCATTTTTAGACTTTTATTTATTTTTACTATATATGTGTGGGTGTTTTGTATACATGTATTTATGTGTACCATATGTGAGCCTGGTACTCATGGAGGTCAGAAGAGGGTGTTGGGAATTGGAGTACAGGCATTGTTAGCCACAGTGTGGGTGCTGGGCATTGAACCTTCTTCCTCTGCAAGAGGAATCAGTGCTCTTAACCACTGAGCCATCTATCCATTCCCCTACTCCCCATTCTCTTGAAACCTCAGGCAAAAAGCCCCTTTCTCTTTGTTATTAAATATTGACTTCTTTGGAAGAAAAAAAAACTTCAACTATGTAGTATAATTTAAATTGTAGTTGAGCTAATTGTGTTGGATAGAAATGAATTTACCTAGGTTTTCATATTTTTCAGTTTATTGCTTCCTTCTTGGTGGTGCTGGGGATGGAACCCAGGGCCTCATGTATGGGTAGGCACGTGCTCTGCAACTGAGGGATACCCCTGTCCCAGTTCATCCCTCAGGAAATGCTGTCTCCTTAAAGGGGATTTTAGCACCAGGGAAGCATGGCCACCTGAAGTCAGCTCCTCTGGATGCACTGCAGTGAGGGCCATCGGGAGGATGGTTCTCTACCTCCCTTAATGACCCTGTCAGAGAGTAGCTAGCTTCAGGTGTTCTTAGAAGCTGCTGAAGGGAGGGCAGGAAACCTTCCCTGGCCTCCACGGCCTTGGTATCCATGCACTGGACCTGAGCATGCCTGGGCACCCACCTTTGAAGCTTTCCTGTCTGGTGTTAGGTCTGTTCTTTGATTCTGGTGTCATTTCACAGCTGCAAGTCCTTTTCATGTTTTTCAGCCCTTGGATGACACTCTTCCCGAGGACTTCGTCATAGTTTGTCTACACCAGTGGTTCTCAACCTTCCTAATGCTGCAGCTCTTAAATGCAGTCCTTCATGTCATGGTGACCCCAACCATAAAATTATTTTTATTGCTACTTCATAACTATAATTTTGCTACTGTTATGATCATAATGTGAATATATGTGTTTTCTTATGGTCTTGGGTGCCCCTGTGAAAGGGTGATTTGACCCCAAAGGGGTCCTGACCTATAGGTTGAGAACCACTGGTCTAGATGGAAACTTTCTACAGTTTTTTCCCTAAACTCAGTGTGATATCTGCAGTAGAATGAATGTTTGGCCGTGACAGGCTCCCTGAGTAGAAGTGCTGTGCTGTGTGGGCTGCATGTTAAGTTGATATTTTGCTTCTTAGTCTGGGGGTGCTGCTCTGGCTTTGGTCATGTGGTACACAAGCTGCCTCTAGTTTTCTCTTTACTTGAATGGATGGATATAGCTCTTTGCAGTTATCCCTAAGCTATAAAGCCGCTGTGTATTCTTCTCTAAGCTTGGAGCTTTTCTGTTTAGATGTGGATTGTGGCTCAGTAAGGGCTAGATTCTACTTGCCCTAGTTTTCAGGAGTTCCGAATGCTTGCTCTAATAAGTATCATTGTGAAAGAGAACATGTAATAGAGGTTTTTGAGATTGAATGCTAGTTATCTGTTTTCTTGTTCTATTTTATCGTGAATTTAGGAGAAGTTGGCTCTGCGACAACAACTGAATGAGGCGAAACAGCAGCTCCTCCAACAGGCAGAGTACTGTACACAAATGGGAGCAGTTACCTGTACCCTCCTCTGGGGAGTCTCCCGCAGCGAGGAAGTCGTCAAAGCCATTCTGGGAGGAGTAAGTTGTCTGGCACTGTTGAATGTGCCTTGTGACCCGGAAGAGACAGCATGTCTGCCATGACATTGACTGCTGAGCCCTGCCATGATGTAAATTTGCTTTAGTTCATTCATCAGATGGTTGCCAGATGCCTGCTCTGTTCATTGTGTCACCTGGTGCTCTGGGGATGTGTAAAATGAAGTACCATCCTTCTGTCCTAGCACCCAAGGGGAGTTTTTGATATATTAACCACTTTAACATTTATGCATATAAGAAATTTAACAGCATTCAAAGTGCTCATATGTATTTTACCTCATGGGTAATATATAATAAAAATCTTGACATATATGTGTCTAATACACACTACACACACACACACACACACACACACACACACACACACACTTTGTAAGGAAACTTCCCATAAGGAGAGGAATTTAAAATGGGCCTTGATGAGTAGGTAGAAATGGCAGAGAATATCTGTTAAGGACAGTTGAGGAAGATCGAATCAGTCAAATGGCAGGTACAGGGTGACAGTCTGGCCTGTGTCAGGAGGGGAGGTCACTTGACCGAGTGGAGGGTTCATGCACTGCAGCATGGGAGACAAGGCTTATTGGAATGCCATTTTGTGATTGGAGGTAAGCAGATGCTGGTACTGTGGGTAGAAGGGCTGTAGAGTCTTCCAGTGTTTTTGTGTGAAGTGTGCAGCTCTCTGCAGGGCAGATGGGGACGAAGGAGGCAGGTGAGAGCTGTGTGGTTGAGATAGATGTGTGTCAGGGTGCAGCTGACGGCTGAGGGAGGAAAGCGTCACAGCAGGCTGGGTTTGACTCTGGGAGAGGGGAGACAAGTGGAGAGGTGGATGTTTGGCAGGAAGCCAGAGCTGCAGTGGTTACTGCATAGAGGATGCAATGTTTGGCTTGAGGGAGGACTTAGTGTCCTTAAAAGTTTGTTGAACTTTATTAAAGTGTAATTTCCTGGACTGCATAAGATTTTGTCTTAAAAATAAAGATGATTTCCATGTTGTAATTTACTCACTGGACTTACACAGTTCATTGGTTTCTTTGAAAATTTCTAGAGTTGGGAAACCATCCCCACAGTCTAGTCTTAGAACATTCTGTCACCCAGGAAGTTCCCTTATGCCATCCTCTCAGATTTTGTTTTTTGTCTTCAAATTCTAAAATATGCCTTGGTTTTAAATGGTTCTTGACAATTTTATATACACATACACACACATGCACAGTGTATCTCAGAAGTAGATAACTCAAATCCCCTTCCTGTTTCCTCCTTTGCTTCCCTTTCAATAATTTTAGTTAGTGCTGCTGTTTATGCACGGGTGTGGCCATCCACTAGAACACGGACCTACCAGCGCCCACAGTCCTGAAGAACAGTGGCTCCCCCAGCAGCCATCATTCGTTAGTAGCTCCTCAGTGAGACAAAGTGAGGCTTAGTGCCTCATAAGCCCATCTCCCATCTGTGTGAGGATGTGGACTGGCCTGATTGTACAGCTCTTGTGCAGAGAGCCACAGCTGCTGTGAGTTGACCAGTGTCCAGAAGACAGCATTTCACAGTGCTCTGCTTTATCCTCCAACTCTGACATTCTTTCCACACAGTCTCTGCCATGTTTCCCGAGCCTTGGTGGTGGCTGATAGATGTCCCAGTTGGGGCACTCAAAAGTCACTTATTCTTTCCACTGCTTCCCTTCTGGGAACTCTGGTGGCACAGGTTTTTATGACTGTTTCTGTTTTGCAGCCAGTCTGTCTTCTGTGTGGTTTGCACATTTGTGATGATGTCACAGTGGCTTCTGTGGAACGATGTATTCTTTTATTTTTAAACTTTCAGGACAAAGCATTGAAGTTTTTTAATATCACTGGTCAGACGATGGAGAGCTATGTGAAGTCATTGGATGGGGATGTCAAGGAGGTTGATTCTGATGAAAACCAGTTTGTATTTGCACTGGCTGGAATTGTAACAAGTAGGTAACTTTTCAGACATAGTGTTATGTATCAAGGTTGGTAATTACAGTTAGGGATTTGTGTGTGTGGTGGCAGTGTCTGGAGAACCATGTTCATCCTGGAGTCTACCTCAGTAAGCTGGGAGAGGTGTCAGGTGTTTCCAGTATGGGAAAGAACCTCAAGGGCTTGTGGTCACCATCACTTATTAGAAATAAGCAACCTAAAAGGAACACAGTTTCATTTGATTGCTATTTATCTTTATTTATTTATTTTTGGTTTTTCAAGACAGTTTCTCTGTGTAGCCCTGGCTGCCCTGGAACTCACTCTGTAGACCAGGTTGACTTTGATCTCAGAGATCTGCCTGACTCTGCCTGCTGAGTGCTGGAATTAAAGGCTTCCACCACGACACCCAACTGCTATTTATTTTTTCACATAATAGAAGTAAAAGAATAAAAGCCTCGGAATGTACATTTAACTACTTGTCATTTGGAATCATTGCTGTTTAACTCATGTCTGGCTAAAGCAAAAGCTGTGAGCTAAGCTTAAATTAAACTCCACTTAAAAGATTCTAAAAACTTTTTTTTTTCCAGTAACTTTTCCCTGGAGGCTAATAAATAGAACCTATCATTGAGGAAATGTTATAAAAGATAACTGATACCTAGTGACTTAATATTACTTGTCCAGTCATTTGTTCCTGTCTTAGTCAGTGTTATAGTGCTGTGAAAAGACACCATGACCTTTGCAACTCCTTTTTTTTTTTTTTTTTTTTTTTTTTTTTTTTGGAGCATGGCAACATGTATGCCACTGGAGCAGTAGCTGGGAGTCACATCCTGATCCACACAGGTGCAGAGAGAGAGAGGGAGAGGGAGAGGGAGAGAGGAGGGAGAGAGGAGAGAGAGGGAGAGAAAGGGAGGGCGGGCGCTCGAGCAAGTGCATTGTATATGGGATTACTCATAAATATTTATAGTTATATGTGGATACTGGTAGGGCTAGTACTGGCTTTACCAGCCCTAGGGCCACTATAATGACTTGGTCTCTGTGCTCATTTGCAGAGCTTGATATATGAAAAAATGCATTTGCTGATCACAATAGGGCAGAGCATTTAAGAAAGATTCAGTTTTTATGCTCTACCTTTGACATCATATGATTCCCATTGCATGTTATAGTTAAAAGTCATTAGTCAATTCTTGAAGGATTTCTCAATGCTTGATCTCAGGTAAGACTAGTCATCGGTTCCACTATTGGTCTGGTGTTCTAGGGCATACGCTGCAGACATGCAGGTCCCAGCCTTCTGTTCCATAGTTTATGACATCACTTCCTGATTTGTAGTAGTTTTTACAATTGTAGAACCTCATCCAGCACCATGCCGGCTCCGTTTTTAAATGCTCATTGATCAGCTGCTTTCCTTGGGTCTGTAAGGACAAAGTCCGAGAATATACTGTCTGCTAAGCAGGGTTCCAGATTGTGGAGCACCTGTGGTCTTTTAGAAAAAAAAAACACCATGTTGTTGTTATGAATTATTGTACTGGCCAGTTTTGTGAGTCACCTTTACACAAACTAGGGTCATCAGAGAGGAAGGAGCTGAGGAAATGCCTCCATGAGATCCAGCTGTAAGGCATTTTCTTAATTAGTGATTGATGTGGGAGGGCCCAGCCTGTGGTGGGTGGTACCATCTCTGAGCTGGTGGTCCTGGGTTCTATAAGAAAACAGGCTGAGAAAGCCAGGGTAACAAGCCAGTAAGCAGCACTCCTCCATGGCCTCTTTATCAGCTCCTGCCTCCAGGTTCCAGCCCTGCCAGAGTTCCTGTTTTGATTTCCTTCAGTGACCTGGAAATTTAAGCCAAATAAACCCTTCTGTCCCCAACTTGCTTTTTGGTCACAGTGTTTTGCTTCAGCAATAGAAACCCTAAGACTATTATTATTATTGAAAACTTTTGTGGAGTTGCTTCTCTCCGTCCACTGCTGTGAGCTCTGTGGGAAAGCTGTGGTCTTGACGCTTTGTTCTGTCTTTTGCAGATGTTGCTGCCATTGCATGTGGCCGTGAATTCTTGGTGAATTCCAGTCGGGTGCTCTTGGACACCATGTTGCAGCTGCTGGGGGACTTAAAGCCTGGCCAGTGCACCAAACTCAAAGTGTATGTAGATAGCAGCTCACAGTTTTTCAAATTGTGCAGTGCCTAGAATATGCCGATGGAACCTTTCTTTAAGTAAACATAGTTGATCTAACAGTATGCTAAAAACTGGAAACAAATAGCTTGAGGATATAAAGGATGTGTTCTATCTTAGGTCATATTTTGTCTAATTTAGTTTGAGATAGGGTTGATGGCCTAAGATAGAACATTTACCCCTTAGAATGGTCAATGGACCCTAAATATTTCAGGGTTGTGTTTCTAGGGGCCTCGGAATGCGCTTCATTAGGTGTTTGCTCTGGCAGTTTCCTACCCAGGTACTGACATTTATAGCTATTTTTTAAATCATTGTAATAAATCATGACAAACTTGCATTTAGTGTCTCACAGTGTTATAGGTCAGGGTCTGAGTTGGCTTGGGTGGGTCCTGTGCTGAGTATCTTGTGAGGTCAACATCAGGGTATTGCTCAGCTGGGCCCCCAGAGGAGGCTCTGGAAGAATCTGCTTCCTTGTATATTCTTTCAGGTACTAGGTAAATCCTGTCCAGGGATAACTGCGTCTTTCCCACATGGCCCCACTGTCATGCCACAGGGTTTTTATACTTGGCATCTGTACTAGTTACCTTTCTGGTTACTGTGACAGCCTCAGTTTGAAGAATGAAGAAATGTCTGTGTTGACAGTTTGAGGGTGCAGTCCCTCATGGCAGGGAAGGAAGACACTGTGGCAAGAATGTGAGGCAACTGGTCACATGGCATCCATAGTCAGGAAGCAGAGGAAGATTCTGGTACTCAGCTCAATTCCTCCTTTTGAAAAGTGTTTTTAACTATTTACTTATTTACATTAGTGCACACGTGTGCTCCTCATTAATTTGTGCACATGGTATAGCATGCATGTGGAGCTTAGAGAACAACTGTTGGGCGTCACTTCTCTCTACTATGTGGGCGCCAAGAATTGAACACAGGCCAGCCAGGCATAGTGGGAAATACCCAGTGAACCACCTCACCAGCCTACTCTATCCTACTTCACCCCCAGACCAGAGGATGGTACCATTTATACTCAGGGTGGGTCTTTCCACTCAATTAAACCTTTCTGGAAACATCCTCAGTGTTGTTTTTCCATGGTGATTATAAATCCAGTTGAGTTGATGATCATCCATCACGGTGTGTATCAGACTTTTTCTGTTGCTCCTAACCAGAGTGTATCTCTGCTTTTTGAGGGCTCATGTGTTTACATTCGGCATATTCGGGGTTGAGGCAGGGCTTCTCTGTAGCTTTGGAGGCTGTCCTGGAACTAGCTCTTGTAGACCCGGCTGGTCTTGAACTCACAGAGATCTGCCTGTCTCTGCCTCCCATGTGTGCCACCACTACCTAGCTAGATAAATCTTTTTAATCACTCAGAGCATCTGCAGAACCTTCTTTGCCAGGTAATTTAACTTTATTAGAATATGATGTATATACAGTCTTGGGGATTAGGCCAGGAAATATTTTTTCTTTTTTGAGGGGAAGGTGCTGAGAATAGAACCTAGTGCTTTCACAAGGCAAGCATTCTTGTGCTGACCTATAGCTTGATGGCAGGGAAATTTGGGGGGCATTAGTATTCTTCCTGTGACACAGTCTTCCAAGTATGTGCCTTATGTATTGCAGGTTTATCTTGTTTAGTTCAATAGCCCCTTTGAAGTCTGTGACAAACACTTCTAGCACCTGCGCCATCTTGGCCTTGGTGTCTCTTATCTTTTCCCAGGTAGCTGAGATTTCTTTTTTCTCTTTGTATGCTGAATACTTTTGGATGCATCCTGGGCATTGGGAACATTATGTTAGAAGCCTCATGTTTAAAGCCTTTGAAAAATGCAACGGTCCACTTGGATTTGAGTTACAAGTGGCAGTGTTATTTATCAGCCCTGTGTCTAGAATGCCTTTACCTGGTGTTTTCCATGCTAGTGGAGCTGCCCTCTGTGTTTCCTAGTGCCACCCAGGCACCCATGGGAGGCCCAGGGAATAATGCTGTCTATGATGAGATATACTCATGCCCCGCTTGAGATGAGGCTGGACTTACAGATAGCTCTATGGGGTTACTTTCCTGAAAAGCTGACTGACTCTCCATGATGCCTATGATGCTCTATTGTTTCCCAGAGCTCCCCTTTCCAGTCCCCATCTAGAATGCTGAGGCCTAAAGTATGACTGTGGCTGCTGCTTAACTCTGCCTGCAGCTGTCAAGATGTTTAAGAGGAGGAAGCATCCCCTTCTACAGCATATGACTTGCCTGGGGCTCCTATATCAATGTGGATGCCAGTAGACCTTTCTTCTCCTTAAGGCTGGGATAGAGCCTTCTGCAGTCTGAGTCCAGGCCAGTGGGAGCTATGGTTTGGTGGTAGGTACTTCATGCTCTGCTCTCATTTCCTCATCTCGTACACTGGTTACCGTCATAGATCTCACATAGCTGCTGCACGCACTCTGTTCATAATTTATAGTTGTATTCCATGGAGGTAAAAGGTACATGTACTGTGACATCCTGTGTGGACCACACTGTACTCTGTCTGCACTAGTGTTTTATGTTGACATGTCTATGATCATGAGCAATGTGTGTTGACATGTAGTTTTCTTTATAATAGTGTTAAAACGACTGTGGATCTGATTTGTTTCTTTGGGGGTCTCAAAAATTTCAGAAGTCCTAATGTTTGGATCACCATTCTCAGCTTAAGGGGACATTTAGGATATTTTTAGTTTCTCTACATATATGCTGCTACAGGGAACACTTGGTAAATATCTTCTTGTGGACCTGTATGTGAGTTCCTCTGAGTTTCCGCAGAAGTGGGACTTTTGAGAAGTGGCGCCCATATGGCTTTGTAAGATGATACCAGTAGACTGTTTCCTGCGTCCTTGTCAGCATTTTGTTATTTGTTTCTATAGAGACTATGTGTATCATCAGTCAATTGGCCAGTCAGTCATCCACCTGCTTCCCTCCCTGGATTTGGAATACCAGCGAGGTGGGCATTTTTTCTGCATGCTTGTGCCATCTCTGTGAATCATCTGTCTACCCATTATCCATTTCCTGCTAAGCCATTTCCACAGTGATGTGCTGATGTCTGTGTGGGTTCTGGCTGCCGATCCATTGCCTCCTTTCCTTTTGTGCCCTCTGTAAGGTCAGCGTTTGGTTGTCTGGCAGCCTCCCTGCCTCCCTTCCTTGGCGTCTGTGCTTGTGGGTCTTGGTAAGCACATGTTGATGGCCGTAATGGTGACGGAACTGTCTACAAAACCATCACATTGGCTTCCCTTCCCAGCGGCCTTCTAGGTCTGTGTACAGTCAGCTTCTAATCCCATGTGAGATACTGGCATGTTCCAGCCTCAGGTGGCTTCCTCACGTGGCTGGCTATCTTCCAGGCAGGCTGCGTGCTGCCGACTCTCTAGGGTTTTTAGGCTCCTCTGCCGAAGTCCCTTTGCTTTTGACAGAAGCCTAAGTCCTTTTGGATAGGGCCTGCACTGTACTGTGCTGAGCTTTTTTTTTTTTTTTTTTTTTTTTTTTTCAATGTCTGACTCACTTCTCCCCTGGGGCTTTTCCTCTTATCACTTTACCATCAAAAGTTACTTACTTTCACAGTTGGTGCCTTGGGCCCAGAGATGGGTTCAGTTTTCTCGAAACTGCTGTTTTTACTCTTAAAACCTAAAAAAAAAAAAAAAAAAAAACCTTCTATAAAAGTTTTGGGCTGCAGAGATAGCTCAGTGGTTGTGGTTTTGAATGAAATTGGCCCCATATGGTTGAATATGTGACCCCAGCTAGTGGAACTGTTTGGCCAGGATTAGGAGGTGTGGCCTTACTGGCTGAGATGTGTCCCTAAGGGTGGACTTTGAGGTTTCAAAAGCCTACGGTATTCCCAGGTAGCTTTCTCTTTGCCTCATGTTTGTGGAGATGGTATTTTTCTGTTCTGCTTGCCACTCTAACTGTAGACCTATATAAGAGCTGGGTCAGAAATCGTGTTACAACCTGAATGCATTTGCCTTCACATTCCCTCCACTAAACAATCCCATTGCTTTTGAATCCAGCCTCTCTAAGTTCTCATAATAGGGGCAGAATGCAGCTAGATTCTTTGCCAAAATGTAGCATGGGCCAGGCGTTGGTGGTGCACACCTTTAATCCCAGCACTCAGGAGGCAGAGGCAGGTGGGTCTCTGTGAGTTCGAGGCCAGCCTGGTCTCCAGAGCGAGTGCCAGGATAGGTTCCAAAGCTACACAGAGAAACCCTGTCTCGAAAAACCAAAAAAGAAAAAAAAAAATGTAGCATGGATGGCTTTGTTGTGTTACTTTTTTTTTTTTTGGAGGGGAGGTAGAGGTGAACAAATGCCTACTTACCCCAGATAGGGCACTAACAATAGACAAAATTAATGATTGTATTATTATAGTGAACCAGAGTTTATTGGGATTCTTACTGAAACATGGATGACTCAAAGGCAATTCTATCACTGAAATTCCAACTCCAGCATGAGTAATGACTCATAAATGCTGTGTTCTTCAGTTCCTTGCACAACTTGCGGGCAGCTTGGCTCATCTTCCAGCAGTTGTTATATAACCAGGGGGAGAGGCTTTCCTAAGTTTCAGGAACTTCCCAAGGAGTGTAAGTTTGTTTACTTCCTGAATTTTTCTCCCCCGCTCTCATGTGACACTGTTATTTCCATGTGACTTTTGATGAAAGCAGGCAACCAAAACTCTTGCTTCATATTAGATATGTGAGATTCTTCAGCCTTCTAAAGATGTTATTCAGTTTACAAGCATGGGAAAGAAGTAACACAGTAAGATATGGGCTTTGTCATTTTATCTTTATGCTTGGTTTTCAGATACTGCTCTTTTCTTAAAATACGTTGTGGAAATATTTCTAGAAGCATTTTATTTTATTTTTTTGTCTTTATACAATGTCAAAATTTATTAGCAATAAATTCATGAGGCACAGTGGTTTCACTGTCAGTAATTTGCCAGATAGTCCCACTTCCTTGATAGTCCTGGACAAAGCAAACATGGAT